GTCTTTAATAAAAGCTTCTCAATAAGACTTTAGTATTTGTGATGAGTGACTGTTCTACTTGAAAAAACAAATTGATGCTTTTCTTAACATTTAGAATAAAATAAGTTAATTCAAAACACTGATAGAAAAGGAAAAAATTAGAAGAGTCATACTTTCTGATTTCAACACTTATAAAAAGCCACAGAATTTAATCAATATAGTGTTGAAAAAATAAAGGACATATAAATGAGCCAGACAAGAAAGTTCAGAATTAGACCTACACAAGCATAGTGAACTGATTTTTTTACAAAGGTACAAAGGATTTCAATATAAAGTGGACAGTCTTGTCAACAAACAGTACTAGAATAACTGAACAGCCATATGCAAACAAAACACTTCAACCCATACCTCACACCTTTATAAAAATTAACTCAAAATTGATCACAGCCCTATATATAAAATCTACAACATGACCAAAAGAAAAAAACTATTACAAGTCATCAAGATTTTAGGCAGAAAAAAAAAAAAAGAAAATCAGTTCTGGGAATCTGGAACCAATGGCTATTTTCAAAATAAACAGACAAAATCTTCATAAAAAAAAAGATTTTAGGCAGAGAATTCATATATGCAACACCAAAAACAATCAATAAAAGAAAAAATTTTAAGTTGGACTTCATGAAAGCTAAAATATTTGCTCTGCAAAAGTACTGTAAAGAAGATCGGAGAAAATACTTGTAAATGACATACCTGACAAATGACAAATTCAAACTATATAAACAACCCTCAAAATTCAATAATAAGAAAACAAGTAACCAAATTAAAAAAGTAAAAGATCTGAACAGATAATTCACCAAAGAAGAGATACAGGTGGCAAATGAGCATTAAATAAATGCTTAACTTTATTACTCATTAGGAAAAATCTAAATTAAAACCTCAATGATATATTACTACCCACTTATTACAATGACTACAATTTAAAATAAAAAATGATGAAACTAAGCCTGGCACTGGTGGCTCATGTCTATAATCCTAGCTGCTCAGGAGGCAGAGATCAAGAGAATCATAGTTCAAAGCCAGCCCAGGCAAACAGTTCATGAGACCGTTATCTCAAAAAAGAAACCTTTGCAAAAAAGAGATGGTAGAATGGCTCAAGGTGTAGGCCCTGAGATCAAATCCCAGTACTAAGGCAAAAGAAAAAGAAAAAAAAAGATGAAATCACAGGCTGGCACAGAATGCAGAGCAAGAAGAACTCTCTCAGATTGCTAGAGAAAATAAAAGATGGTTTAGCCACTTTGGAATATACACTTTAAAATATACACTTAGCATAAAACCCAGAAATCAGACTTCTAAGTATGTATACAACAGAAATGAAAATTTATTATCACATTTTTAAAAACCTTTCCACGAATATTTAATGTATCTTTAATCATAACTGCCAAAAAATAAAAACAATCAAAGGCCTATGAGCAAGTAACTGCAGAGATAAGCAAACAGTCATACAGCCATACAATGAAATATGATCCAGGAATAAAAAGAAATTAACTACTGATAACATAAATCAATGAATCACTAATATATTTTTCTAAGTGAAAGACGTTTGACCCAAATGATTACATACTGTATGATTATATCTATGTAACATTCTGGAAAAGATATTAACTGCACATATGGACCAAAAAACAAAATCTGTTTCCCATATATGGTCAGCTGTTTTGTTTTATTTTGTTTTGTTTCGCAAACACACTATGGATAGTTGGTGAGGAAAGGAAAGTATTGAGCAAAAGATATGGGAACAACAAATGTAAGAAGAAAAATGTCAGCCTCTACCTGACATTAGACACTTTGTAATTAAACATAGACCTAGACATAAAAACTAAAACAATAAAACTTCTAGAAGAAATGATAGGACATTTATCGTCACAATGTTGGAGTATTGAAAGATTACTTAGTATATAAAATAAATTACCAAATCAGAAAAAAATTAAGTTTGAGGTCATCAAAAATTTTAAGTTTTGATCATCAAAAGAAATGTTAAAAGTGAAAACAAAGGAAAGATTGAGAGAAATAATCTGTGATAAAAATAGAGATGCTCCTTAACTTACTATGGAGCTACATCCCAATAAAGCTGTCATGAACTGAAAATATCATAAATTGAAAATGCATTTAATACAGTGAACCTATCAGACATCACAGCCGAGCAACACAGCATACTGCTAAAGTATCGGTGGTTTACCCCCATGATCACCTGACTGGGAGCTTGCTACCACTGCTCAGCATTGCAAAAATTATTACACTGCATCTTGCTAGCCCAGGAAAAGATTATAATTCAAAACTTCATGTACAGTTTCTACTAAGTGTATATATTTTTCACATCATGATAAAGTCAAAACTCATAAGTCACCCATCATAAGTTGGGAGTATCTGTATATGATAAATGATATGTATATAGGTTATATAAAGAACTCTAACAAATCAATAACAAAAACATGAGCATCTCAATTTTTAAATGGATAAACACTTGAAGAGCCAGGAGCCAGTGGCTCACACCTATAATCCTAACTACTCAGGAGGCAGAGATCAGGAGGACAGCAGTCAAAGCTGGTTCCAGGCAAATAGTTTGGAAGACTCTATCTTGAAAAAATCCATCACAAAAAAGAGCCGGCAGAGTCGCTCAAGTGCTAAGGGGGCCTGCCTATCAAGCAGGAGGACTTGAGTTCAAACCTCAGTGACACCAAAAAATCAAAAACACTTGAAGAGATACTGTACAAATGAAGATATGGTAAAGATAAGCAAATAGCAAACAATTATATGAAAAGTACTCAACCATTATTAATCATAAAGAAAATGTAAATTAAAACCACTGTAACACTTAAAATTAAAAAGGCTGACAATAACCCAAGGTTGCAGTGGATGGTAGCAAAATGGAAACTCCTATGTTACCAATGGGAATATAAAATGATATAACTATTTAGAAAAAAAACTTTTGACAGTTTCTTACAAACATATACCTAACTATGACCTGAAAAATGCACTTTTCATAGTTAGCCAAAAGAAATGAGAACATATGTTGGCCAAAGACTTGTAAAGTATTTATAGCAAGCTCATTTACAATAGACAAAAACTGGAAACAATCCAAATACCCATAACCAATCACATTGTGGTGGAGCTATAAAATGAACACCATTCAACCATAAAGAATGAACTATGGATACATACAACATGAATAATGTTATATTTAAAATATTCATGTCAAGCAAAATAAGCCAACTACCAAAGAATAAATACTGAATGATTCTACTTACATGAAATTTAAGAACTAGTGAAAATATAATGATACATAAGAACAATGGTTGCCTATAGGGAATGAAACCTAACTGGCAAAGGGCACAGGAAACTTTCTGAGGCAAAAAAAAAAAAAAAAAAAAGTTTGAAGACTTTAGAAGCATAATGGTTACATGAGTATTTAGATTAATCAGAATATAAAACTGGCCAGGCATAGTGCTACATGCCTCTAATCCCAGCATTCAGGAGGCTGAGGCAGAAGGATTGTGATTCCACGGCCAGCCTGGGTTACAGAGAGTTCAAGGCTAGAATGGGCTACAGAGCAACACTCTGTCTCAAAAAAACCAAACTGTATACTCAAGATCTGTGTACTTTACTGTATATTACTAATTCTACTAAAAAATTCAATTAATTGGATCTTTCACTTCAGTAGTAGAAAATGCAAAGCACATCACATAGTATCCTGCACTCAATGAACAAATGCCTATTTTCAGAAGTTAATTCAAATTCAAATGTAAATGCATAAGTTCATATACGGTCCTTATATCTGGGAAAAAATGGTCTGGTTTTAAGCACTCAGAAGCCAGTTATAGACAATAAATAAATGCACATATACATACACATCATGTGTATAGCACATATATAGGGCTTTTTAAATAAGACTTGCCAATATACACATGAATGGACCAAATAAAGTAGTTAAATACTTAATAAACCATGGGAAAATAAACAACCTTCTGGTTCCTAAGTATCCTATCTTGGGAACAAAAGTAACCTATTAATAAATTCAACACCAATAAAAGTATGTTAAATCATTATGTTGCTTCTGGTGGGCAGAGATGTTAGTTAACTATAAATAATGTTGACAATAATTTGTATGGAAAAAATATGGTTACTACAATTTCTATTCTCAATCAAATCCAGCATAGAGGATATAATACATTTCACATTTATTTATTCTGCAACAGGACCTACAACTATAACTCTAGTTCTTATATAATATTAGTAGGCAAGTCAGTTACCTATTTTATCACTGTCACAGAGAAGAAGGCTTTATATTGGCTCCCAGTATCAGAGGTCTTAGTCAATGGCCCCTTGCCCTAATCACTTTGGGCCTGAAGTGAGGCAGAACATTACAGAAATGGGAGCTTGATAGAGCAGAGCACCTCACTTCATAGCAGACAGGAAGCAGAAAGAGAAGAGCTGAATAATGGGAACAAGACACACCTTTCAGGTCATGCTCCACCCCACCCCCCAGTGACCTATTCCTTCCAACTAGGTCCCATGTCCTACTTTTCACTACCTCCCAATAATGCCACCATATCAAGAATCCATTAAGGGTTCAACCCACTGACTAGGTAACAGTCCTCCAAAAGCACATCAGCTGGCAAGCAAGTCCCCCATGTATGAGCCTGTGGGGGACATTTCATAGTCAAAGCATAAGATAGGTACAACAAATTTTAAACCAAAATAGATTTAAGTGTCAATTCTTATGAAAACCCCATAAATGAAGTAAATTGGATAAAATTATACTTAACACCAACAATATTTTACCAGACCTCTTAACCTTTTATTTGAAAAATAAAAGATATATAATTTTAGCATTTAACTGAACAATGCATTCTGGAATGCTTAACCAAAACTCAATCCTTAATACACGTACACATACCTCCACATACTTACACACACGTTTGCATGATAATATGTGAATGTGTATCTAAACAAGTTCTTTGAGGTTCTCAAGAAGTTTTAAACTGTTTTGGAATTGGTATATAGAGAAAAAATTTGGAACAACTATTTAATCCATTTTTAAAGCCTTTTGTATGGTAGCATACCTGTGCCCTCTTCTGAACCTCCAGGAGAAGTTCTGAATACTGCAATTCCAGTTCTTTCTTTTGTTTGTGCCAGCAGCTCTCTTGGGCTTTGATCTGTTCTGCCACTTTGTTAAAGGTGTCTTCCTGGGTCTGTTGAAGCTCTCTCATTGTATCAGACTTATTTTTACAGATATACTCAAGATGGCTTATCTATAAAGAGAAGTGAAACAGAGAATGAGATATATTGATAAATCACTTCTTTACATCACCACCCCAAAAACACCTAAAATTTTCTACTATATTCCTTAAGATCATATAAAGATTTTTAAGGTAAAATGTTAATAAGTTAAGAAACAGGAAGTAGCAGAGTAAGTTATCACATTTTTGCAGAAAATGGTGTCATTTGTAAATTTATACAACAAATTTTATTCTTCTCTTTCTAATAAAGTCAGTCATTCTGTAATCAATGTTACAGAAAAAAATAACAATATTCTTATTTATAGAAGCAAAGCTCAGGCTATTCAAATACATCAATGGGAAACAAAGTATTTAAATGAGATTTACAAATGTGTAAATACTTTACAAATAATAAAGAGTGTTCCAACCACTTTTTTATTTGACAAAGAGTGAAAAGAAAATCCTTATCTAACAATTAATTATGTTTTGAAACTATGAAAAATGATTAGAAACAATACCAACTCAGAGGGTAAAACAATCTCATTTTAATTATCAGTAATTTTAACTCACTATCCACACATTCACAATTACAAAATACATCTGTACTTCTCACAGTGGATTCCCTTATTTCTCAGTCTACTTCTCATTGCCTAAGGTTTTGTTTGCCAATAGGATCAAAGTAAAATGCTCAACAACACAAAATCTCACTCTGAAATTGGGCTGTTTTATTAGTTCAACTTTAAAAAAAAAAAAAACTTATGGAATTATTTTTTGCTTTTTTTTTGTTATTCCTTAAGAGTAAATGTCATTGTAACTCAGACCTGGAAACTAAACCACATAAACACAGTTCTCACAAGTTCAATAGACCCAGGACAAGAAACACTATCTTTACTGGTGACATGTGTTGATTTGCTAAGCCATTTTAATTTTCTATAATCAAAAACAGGTTTTCCTTTCTTTTTGGAAAAAGATTAAATTCATAGGCTTGAAAATAGTAAGGTGACCATAAAAGTCTACTGTTTTGTTCTACAAAATACATGTCTCACATTCCTAAGCATGAATTGATTGGGTTTTCTCAAATACAGTTTGCTGTATTTGAAGAAAAAAGTCAGAACTATAACTGAAAATTTTCTAAGTGTTTTTAAAAATAACACCTCATATTTCCTAAGCAAAGAATTTTAAGATAATGTTTTTGAATAACTTTATCCTGTTTCTATCTTAATGCTAACATAAAGAGTTGGTTTATTAATGTAAATGACTAAGTTCTTTGAATTGCTTCATCAGTAAGATTAATTTATTTTCTTTTAATTAGGTCCCTGTGGCTAATACTGGCTAGTAGTATTAACATGTCCTGCACAGAAAGTGGAGCTTAGAGACTTCATACAGACTTCAGTCACATTTACATGCCCACAGCAATGGCATCAAACTGAGTTGTAGACAAGCCATAATTAATGGTACTGAATTATTAACACCCAAATTCTTTTTGAAATAAGATGAATGTCAGCCCCTCTTAATGATACTGTGATGTGGACAAATGTCACTGAATTTAATAGAGGTATCTGGTGCCTGAGGACAGTTACCTTCTCATTAGCCCTGCTGAGGTCTGCAATGAGGGCATCAACATTCTCCTGCAAGACTGCACAAAGCTCAGACCAAGAGAATTTATCCAACATGCCTTCTGGTTGTTTTATGAGCACACAGCCTGCTATCAAGTGCTGATATAAGGTATGAAGGAAGGTTAGCTTCTCCTGCAAGAGAAAAAGACAAATTAATTCCTGTATATAAACACTGTAAGAAATAATACACATAATACAAGCACTGAATCATTTTAAAACCTAAAAAGAAATTAAAACACTCAAGTTTCAAATATTTACATTTAGATGACTTTTTTTCAAACATTCAAAATCAAGCATTAGATAGTATACTGGGAATTGTCTGCATTTTGTATTCAAAAAGATTGAAGCCTGAAGATCAGGTTTCTGATACAGCTTTGCTGCTAATGAGCATGTGATCTGAGTAAGCACTTTTTCAGGCCTAAGTTTCCTTAGCTATAACACAAGGTGTGTGGGTTAATTGCTCATAAGAACTTTTAACTAGAATTCAATGTAGTAATTCTGTAATTTCGTATCTACATTTGACAAAAAAGTAACATCAAAAAACAATATCGAGAGAAGAGTATGTTATTCAATTCTGATGAAGAAAAAGTTACAGCAATATTGTACTTTACATGTCTACAATTACTCAACTTTCTTCCTACTCTAGAGATTCCAGTTCACTTACCATTTATAGGAAATCTATCCCAAGCCCCCTAGGCAAAGCAGACAGTGATATGAAAGATATGGAGGATGGCCTCATTTGTTTTCCTCACTTAGAAGTTTATATAGTATTTGGCACACTGGGCATTTGTAGGTGTTTAAATATTACAAAGTAACAGGCAAAAAGAAAACATGGAAATAATTGCTCAAGACATATTTTCAAAAATGTCCAATTAAAAATATGTTTTAAAAGCCCTTTAGAACTGTATTACTGAATAGCCTAAAAATATTTACTACATTCTAGAATCAGCATAAAGCTGATCTTAGCTTGAATACACAAGGAGGATTTACTTACCACAAGGTAAGTAAATAAAATACTTTATAAAATACTTCATCTATATAATCCTGAAATACAGAACTCAAAGACAAAGTAACTATGAAACTGCAAAATGAATATTTTATGTGGCTAAAATAAGTTCCCTCAAGATGTCTTAATCAGTCAGGAGAAAAACAAAACTCCTTTTGGTTTTTTGGCAGTTCTGAGGTTTGAACTCAGGACTTTATGCCACTGCTCTATCACCTAAGCTCTATCATATAAAAAAAACTTTTAAAAGGAGAAAGCTTAGAAGAAAAATTAAAATTCTACTCTATATTTTTTAAACTTAATATAGCATATACAAAGGTTTTGTAGTTAGGAATTATAAGGATAGTTTTCCTATTTAAAAATACATATTAATGCACTGTATATGCTAACTCATTTTTTCCAAATATAATAATTTAACCAAAAAGTTTTTAAATATATGATTTTTTAATTTTAAATTTATAGTTGTACAATGACAAATTTGAGTCAAGAAATAAGAAAATTTTGTCATAAATGTACTATGCATTGTCCAAAATGTACTATGCATTGTCCATTGTATTTTAACTGTGTATAGAAATCTTATTAAACATGACTATCTAAATGTAATATTCAAGCATTACAATCTTCCTCCTTCACATTTCTGCCAAGTGATCATGTTCATCCTCAAGGATGTTCATCCTCCAGGATAATTCACTGTGTCGCCATTATGTCTTTTTTGCTTGGACTGTGATAAACCAAGCATGATAATCATCCATTTGGCATGAAAGGAGCATCACAAGATCCAAAATCAATTCACACATGCTGAACCCAACCACAATGCTATAGACATGCTGGCTTTATAATACAGCCAGACTTCTAGCTTCCTTTACTTTAATCATTATCTCATGTGTAGAACAATTCCAGTCCCTTCATGTGCATACAATTTAAATCCCAGACTGTAAGAAGATGGAAAGAATGCTTCCTCTTTTCCCTCTTGGCATTCATGTTCCTATTTGTTGGAGTAATGAATTCAATATGCAGTTCAACTTTAGATAAATCAGTTCTACCAGCTATACTAGCTCTATCTCCTATGGGTAAAAGAAAATAAAAGATAACAACTCTATCCATACAGACTCACATAGAATATGGTACTTTTTCATAATATTTTAAGAAGTCATAAATAAATAAAAATGGATCAAATGAAGTTTTAATTTTCTGAAACTTCTATTTTTCTAAATTTTCTTAATACCCTATAATTATAAAAGATATTTATAGGGAAATGTGTGTATTAAAGTAGATACTGTTCCTGTTTTACAAATAAGCAAACTGAGATGTGGCTTGTCCACCACCACACTGTTTCACAGAAATACTAGGATCCATGCCTAAGTCTATCTGATTACTCTATGTGTGTGTGTATTCTTTCCGTCACACCAGAATTACTGAAATAAGAAATAACGTTGCCAATGACAAATAGGCAAAACCTTTGAACGACTGTTAGGAACACAGCAACCTGAGATAGGATGATCTAAACAGTCAAAAGAAATTGATGGTACAAGAGATAGAAAGTGGAACCATGTTAGTTTTCTCACAAAAATAGGGTGACACATGCACAATGGAATAACTGATTTTGCAGCTGTTATTAACATTTAAAAATATGCAAATCAGAACAATTTTTTCCATTAAATCAAAGATGAGTTAAAACAGTCACTTGGTATATAAAACTGAGAGTAGTCAAAGACCTTTCCTAGCCATCTTCTAGTCTCAGGCAATACCTCATTGTCCTTGTGGAAAGCCTGAGAAAGTTTCTGCAGTTCACCTTCGCATTGGGCTGCTCGCACTTTTTCTTTTTCCCAACAGTGCAGCACATTTTGTAACTCCACTTTTAAAGTGCTTATTAAAGCCTCTCGGTCTGCACATTTAGTGTGTAAATGACTTAACTCTTTATGGACGTCAGCTAGTTTATCTTGAAGTTCCTGTGAGAGACACCAAATAAGGAGACTATAGGAAGATGATCCAATGGAGTAGGAGTGGGAGGCATGAACATATAAAATATATAATGAAAAACTTTAATACAAAAGAATCAAGCATTTGCATATAATGCTAAACTTTGAAGTGTTTTATTGAATGTATTTTCTAAGAATATTTTAGCTTAAAAATTAGAAAATTTGTTATGCTCAAATATGTACATAAAATGTTACTAAAATGGCTTATCCCAGAAAGCTCTTTGAAGGGAGTTTTCCTTTCAACTTATTACAAAATCATAAATTGGTAATTCAAAAAAATTTAGTAACATTTTAAAAAGTAAATATTTACATTTAATATAAGAGCACTTACTTTTCAATGATATTCCAAATACTAACAGAAATCTTGATCAAATATATGGCATAAAATTCTGCTGAACTATTTGTTCCTTAACCTTAACAAGTTCTATTGAAGTATATCTATGAATCAACATAGTAAAATTCCAAGAATACAGAGCAACTCAATTTTGCAAAGATGTAGTCTATAAAACCAGGGCAGAAAATAAACTGCGTTCCTAGACCTTAGCCAGCTGTGTTTCAACCCATTACCAGGCATGAGGTATTAAAAACAATGGCTCCACCCTAAAATGATGAAACTGACTCCAAATACAGATGTGCTTAATATGTATACATATATGTATACATATATGTTTAATATGTATCTGAAGCTGAACATTAAATTTCAAGTCATTTTTTGAGTCTGTGGTATTACAATTTTATCAAAGAAATGAATTTTTTCCTTTAACCAAAATAGTTTCCAATCAAATTATTTTTTTATGAAAAAAACCACTGTTGTTACTTTGATCAACAACAAAAAATTAAAAGTGTATCCAAATACACTTTAAAAAATAGTAAGATATATACTTTCCAATATCTCTAAAAGAGTCCTTTAGTAATTATATTTGCTTCTTAATACAAAAGGAAAGCAGTCTTCTAAACTGTAATACCTTTATATTTTTAGCATGAGATTCGATCTTCTGTCTGGTAGAATCAAGTTCATTAGACGCCTTTTCCTTAGCATCATTTATGCTGCTTAGCTGAAGAAAGAAAAGCAATGTTTTACATTTTTCAAGGATGGGTAACTCAAGAGCTAAACTTTAAATATTTTTTATGCAATTACTTATATACAAATATTTCAGTAATAATTAAGATACTTCTTTTGGTTAAATGCTATGTGGTTTCTGTCACAAGCTCACATTGCTAAAAAGAAAAGAAAGCATTCAACCTTAAATTGTCAGCAATGTTATTGTATTTTTACTAGATATCTGGATAAAGGATTTCATTCTTACTGTAAATAAATATAACTTTATTCTTAAAATCCTACTGGACCAAAATGCCAAAAGTAGAGGCATCTATAAGGAAAGAAAAAAGAACAGAGCAGAATACTGTTTTTCTATACATCATGTGTTATTCACTGGTCTCTCACTCCACATGACAACTTCAGGGTCAGTCACATGCAGTCCTACTGGGAAGGCTTGTGGCAGGTCATCAGTTGGTCTTGCACTGCTTGTGATTTATTTTCTTTGACAGTTCATTCTTCTTTCTGTCAGACTGCTCTTTTTGCTTTCTTTGCAGCCACCCCCTTGGTCTCCCTACTGCTGTCTCTGGCACTGGTTCACAACAAAGCACACTACTAAGCCAAAGCCTGCTGAGTTGACTTTTCAACAGTGCTGAGGATCATGTGACATTCATCCTCCCAAATAACAATTCACTGTGGGTAATATGTTCCTAGTTACCCTGCAGCTTCCAGGCCTAGGCCTCAGAAGAATTTCATAACTACTAACAATACAGGTTGTCTTGTCTCACTTGGAAATACTTAGCAATATTTGTTCTTCACAGAAATTTAATTATATAAATGGTCACTTTTCTTTTTTCCTTCTGAACAAATGGAGTGTTAAGAAGACTTGATTTTCCTCTTTTGTTCACCTTAGCAAACTAAAATAAGCCTCTACCAACATGTTAAATATAATGGTTTTACGGCCTTTGAATTGTCTGAAAAAGATAAAACACTAAATTCTGTGCTATGTGACTTCTCTTTGGCTGAACAATCTGTTGTTTTGCCAAATAATTATATTTAATGTAATTACTTCATATGCTAATTTAACAAGATGTAACTAGACAAACTCTTCAATTTTTAAAGCATGAATTCATAAAGCATTTTAATACCCAAGAAAATTATCAACTAACATTAAACAATACAAATGTGACGATAAATAGAAGCATGAGATTTTTTTTAATCAGCAAACTAAAGGCTTCCAGGCTACATCAAATGGATATTTGTTTTTAAAAACTTCTAACAACACTTTACTCCCTTTAGAAAATGAGAACTATTTTCTCTTTTTTATTAAGACTTCCACAGCTTGCAGTATTCTTTAACTAAAATATTGACAAAGTCTAAATTTCTACTAGCTATTTATTCCACATATCATAAAACACATTACCTTAAATAACACAGCTTTTTATTAAATTAAAACAGATAAATTATTAAGACAAAGAACTGACAGAGTCCTTTAAACTTTGAAAATAACAATGTACCTGAAGAGTTACAAAAACATGAGACACTACATTAGGCCACACTTAAAGAAAGAACAGTAACAATTTATTATTTTTTGTATTTGTGAAGCCATCAATTCAATATTCCCAATCTTTTGACCTTTGTAACAAGCAAGGGATGCATACTAGTAATGCCCGAAGGCTGAGTGTGTGGAGCCAAACAGTGCAAGTGTTACCTCATTAGATGCATCTTCTAGCTTGTTCTGATAATCTGTCAAGGTATGCCTCAAAGTCTCAAGAACAACAGAGAAGCTGGGAAGTTTATCTTTGTCCTTGTGGATGCCTAGAGAAAAATATATGATGAAAATGTACTCTTAAAGTCACATAGGCACAAGAGCTAAGCAAACAGTAACAGAGATATTACAATTAGAGCTAAAAAGACATGAAATATCAAATAGAATTTTATTCTCGAAGTACACTGTTGTGTAGCCAAGTATTAACAGGCTTTCCAAACAAGTGGCCAAATTAAAATTCATCATACATCAAGTTCAAATTTATTGCTACTTTCTATTTTATCAAGATCCATGATAGTTTTTTTATCCCATATTTAAGTAATAGCAGTGTTTATACATATCTGTTATCCAACAATTAAATGAATAGTCTACACTAATATTGTTTGTGGGAATTACATATATTTAAAATAGACCTTGTGCTTCTGATCAGTCAGGCTTTTTATAATGTACTATTTTCTTTAAATAAAAATTTCTGAACCCAAGAGTATATAATTTTCTGTTATGCTTGGAAATGATCTTCAGTCCTTAAAATTATCAAGTTACAATTTGAAATAAACAATGAAATGTTATTAGCTACATAGCCCACATCATGTTTTAATTAAAACTCATAAGTGTGATATTCATTGTAAAAAATATAAGTACTTCTATTTTATGTCTTCAAACTACTTTAATTTAACTGGGCTATAAATTAAATTGTTGAGCTAATTAAGGTCATACAGTTCAAGGGTAATTCCAAATATTATTCCAAAATAAACAAAATTTAAAGCTGGACATGGTTGCTTACACCTATAATCCTAGCTACTCAGGAGGTTCAGATTGAAACCTTTGCAGTTTAAGGCCAAAAAAATTCATGAGACTCCATCTCAACTAACTGCTGAGCACATGATACGAGCCCATTGTTCCAGCTATGTGAGAGGATCACAGTTAGAGGCCACCCCAGGTTAAAAAAAAACAAAAAGAACTCCCAGACATAAATAGGAAGAGCATGTTTAAGGCTGGGTCTGGACAAGAAGCAAGACCTATCCCCAAAATAATCAGAACAAAAAGGGCTGAAGGAGTGGCTCAAGTGGTAGAGTGCCTGTCTAGCAACATGAATCCTAGTTCAACTTCAGTACTGCCAAAAAATTTTTTTAAGTTGAATTTCAAAAACCACTTTAAATTGATTTTTTATTTTCTACTCTTTAAAGTATTAAAAATACCAAATTTAGTTTTAAATATTCTATTAAAAATATTTTTCATTT